CTTTCTGGGGATTATTGCTTGGGTTATCATTGCTAGCATGACACTTTCTGGGGATTATTGCTTGGGTTATCATTGCTGGCATGACACTTTCTGGGGGTTATTGCTTGGGTTATCATTGCTGGCATGACACTTTCTGGGGGTTATTGCTTGGGTTATCATTGCTGGCATGACACTTTCTGGGGATTATTGCTTGGGTTATCATTGCTAGCATGACACTTTCTGGGATCATTGCTTGGGTTATTATTGCTGGCATGACACTTTCTGGGATTATTGCTGTTACTGACACATTCTAGGGATTATCATCTGTCTCTCTTCTCAATCTGTTCAAGGTGTCATTCCTAATAATTTTCAAATGTTGGCAACTATGGTTTATTTCTACGTCAACTGACAGCAATATTAGAACTGATTTTTGGACTTGCTGACCAGAAATGTAACAGACACTGTTGCATACTTCTAACTGTTGGTGGTGAGGGGGATGAGTCTAGCCTTGTTCAGGATGGTCTATCGCTGGCTCTGACACATGCTGGGAGTTATCTCTAGCCCTGACACTTTCTGGGGGTTATTGCTTGGGTTATCATTGCTAGTGAGACACTTTTTGGGGATTATTGCTTGGGTTATCATTGCTGGCATGACACTTTCTGGGGGTTATTGATTGGGTTATCATTGCTGGCATGACACTTTCTGGGGATTATTGCTTGGGTTATCATTGCTGGCATGACACTTTCTGGGGATTATTGCTTGGGTTATCATTGCTGGCATGACACTTTCTGGGGGTTATTGCTTGGGTTATTATTGCTGGCATGACACTTTCTGGGGATTATTGCTGTTACTGACACATTCTAGGGATTATCATCTGTCTCTCTTCTCAATCTCTTCAAAGTGTCATTCCTAATAATTTTCAAATGTTGGCAACTATGGTTTATTTCTACGTCAACTGACAGCAATATTAGAACTGATTTTTGGACTTGCTGACCAGAAATGTAACAGACACTGTTGCATACTTCTGACTGTTGGTGGTGAGGGGGATGAGTCTAGCCGCTGAGTTCAGGATGGTCTATCGCTGGCTCTGACACATGCTGGGAGTTATTGCTTGGGTTATCATTGCTAGTGAGACACTTTTTGGGGATTATTGCTTTGGTTATCATTGCTGGCATGACACTTTCTGGGAATTATTGCTTGGGTTTATCATTGCTGGCATGACACTTTCTGGGGGTTATTGCTTGGGTTATCATTGCTGTGCATGACACTTTCTGGGGATTATTGCTTGGGTTATCATTGCTAGCATGACACTTTCTGGGGATTATTGCTTGGGTTATCATTGCTAGCATGACACTTTCTGGGGATCATTGCTTGGGTTATCATTCCTGGCATGACACTTTCTGGGGATTATTGCTTGGGTTATCATTGCTAGCATGACACTTTCTGGGGATTATTGCTTGGGTTATCATTGCTGGCATGACACTTTCTGGGGATCATTGCTTGGGTTATTATTGCTAGCATGACACTTTCTGGGGATTATTGCTGTTACTGACACATTTAGGGATTATCATCTGTCTCTCTTCTCAATCTCTTCAAAGTGTCATTCCTAATAATTTTCAAATGTTGGCAACTATGGTTTATTTCTACGTCAACTGACAGCAATATTAGAACTGATTTTTGGACTTGCTGACCAGAAATGTAACAGACACTGTTGCATACTTCACTGTTGGTGGTGAGGGGGATGAGTCTAGCCGCTGAGTTCAGGATGGTCTATTGGCTCTGACACATGCTGGGAGTTATCTCTAGCCCTGACACTTTCTGGGGATTATTGCTTGGGTTATCATTGCTAGTGAGACACTTTTTGGGGATTATTGCTTGGGTTATCATTGCTGGCATGACACTTTCTGGGGATTATTGCTTGGGTTTATCATTGCTGGCATGACACTTTCTGGGGTTATTGCTTGGGTTATCATTGCTGGCATGACACTTTCTGGGGGTTATTGCTTGGGTTATCATTGCTAGTGAGACACTTTTTGGGGATTATTGCTTGGGTTATCATTGCTGGCATGACACTTTCTGGGGATTATTGCTTGGGTTATCATTGCTGGCATGACACTTTCTGGGGATTATTGATTGGGTTATCATTGCTAGCATGACACTTTCTGGGGATCATTGCTTGGGTTAGCATTGCTGGCATGACACTTTCTCTGGGGATTATTGCTTGGGTTATCATTGCTGGCATGACACTTTCTGGGGATTATTGCTTGGGTTATCATTGCTGGCATGACACTTTCTGGGGATTATTGCTTGGGTTATCATTGCTAGCATGACACTTTCTGGGGATTATTGCTTGGGTTATCATTGCTAGCATGACACTTTCTGGGGATTATTGCTTGGGTTAGCATTGCTGGCATGACACTTTCTGGGGGTTATTGCTTGGGTTATCATTGCTAGCATGACACTTTCTGGGGGTTATTGCTGTTACTGACACATTCTAGGGATTATCATCTGTCTCTCTTCTCAATCTCTTCAAGGTGTCATTCCTAATAATTTTCAAATGTTGGCAACTATGGTTTATTTCTACGTCAACTGACAGCAATATTAGAACTGATTTTTGGACTTGCTGACCAGAAATGTAACAGACACTGTTGCATACTTCTGACTGTTGCACTGTACACTTCAGTGTGCTTAAAGGAGGCTACGATCCATGTTTCCTTATTGCACTGTGAATGGTTTCTACATTACATTGTATTTTTTCATTCTCTCTCTAAGCATTTTTTATATTTTTAAAAGTAAAAAATACCATTCTTAAATATGAACTTGGGGCTCGAGAAAAATGAGCCCTTGCAGTGGGTCCCCGTCCATACTGCAAGGATTAAAAGGAGATAGGAATAAGGCAAACATTATTCTTCTTTCCTGTGGGCTTTCTCATTTTCATAAAATTGGACCTCTGGAGCTGCCCTTCTTCACTGCCTGTTGGATATCAGCTCTGTGATGTCATCTCAAACAAGACCACACCAGTGGTCCTGCATTGTATGCGGGGATGCCTAAGGCCTGACTACATCCCAGGAGTGTCAAATAGTGAAGAAGAGCATCAGCTGCCAAAGAATAAGAATAAGGTAGGTAGTTCACCTTTTTTATTATTCACACCCATGCCCTAGAGATAACAAGCATTTAACCCTTGCAGTGCAGAAGGGAGAAGGGAAATCAACTGCATGGGTTGCATTTTTACAACTCAGAATCTGTTTTTGGATCACCATGTTTGGTCTATCATTGCATTTCATTATTTATGTACATGGCATGCAAAGAAGGACTGTGTATAGCTTTGTAATGTTAATGAAATTTCATTTTATTTACTGTAAAACTTGGTACTATGACAGAGTGTCTTCCTTGACCACAAGTGGAATTTGATGACCACATTTGTCTTTACATACAAAATAGCACAGCTCAACACAAATGGTATTATTATGTCTTTGCGACCATATTACTCATGCCCATCATTTGTCATTACACCAGCTCTATGATCTATGGCTATTTAAGATTGTGGTTTTTACCTTATATGTCTCTGTTGTTGGATTGCCTGAGAGACCAGACTGTTGTATCATTTGTGCAACAATACGTCTCATCACAGGCTGCTTGCTTCAGGGCACAAGCTGTTCATAAATAGGCCTTTGACTATGAAATAATCTCTGTTAGCAGACACTTAAAGGAAAACTCCACTTTTGTAAAATATTTGTAATTGCTGCCTAAGCAATTGTGTAATGTGATGTGATTAAAAATGACCTTCCCATGTAAATCTGCAACCTTTGTCATTTTCTGGAACTTTCGCTTTCTTCCAATATGACATTCTGCAGCCAATGGAATGCAATCAGAAATTTCATTTTCAGCTTGTATGATTGGCTCACTGTTCTCAAATGTCTGTGTAGCATGTAAATGAATAAGCCTCCCAGTAATTATATTACTAGGCTGCAGCTAGAGAGAGCTCTGTTGATTTGCACTGTGACTTGAGGAAACTAACTAACAACCAACCAGCTCACATTAAACTCAGAATGAGCAAGTGAGCCACACATGTTTTCTGCTCCTCCTTAAAGGTTAGTCACACGTGATTTATGCTATCTTTGTTCAATTTTGTGTTTCTTCTGATATTCACCTTTCTCTGTTTAGTATCCTATATGTTAGTAATGGTAACTCTCTAACATGGATTGATGTGCTTTTCCATGTTGCCTGTACTGCCACTATAAAAAAGTAGTTATCTGTATCATTTCTGTTTGTGACATTAAATTTGAAATGAGCAAGTGAGCCACATGTGGTTTCTGACTCCTCTTTAAATACAGATACTGCAGGCTACATCTGTGTCACACTTTGCACTCAGATCACCGATAATTCTGTAATAATTGCAGATATGAATCAAATTAGAGGCATCCACTGCAATAGGAGTCTCATTTTTGGTGAGATACTCCCTAAGTCCTCTGTAGCTCTTCTATAGGGATGCAGAAACTGCAGCTGTTCTAATTAGAACAGTGAGATTTGATTAGGTGGGTATAATTAAGGCTTACCCTCTCATTCAGAATCAGTCTGGAAAGGACACAACAAAACCAATGGCAATTTCTTAAAAATAGAAAAAACGTATTTTATATATTTACCATAAAGCCCATTCCTTGAAGATATTAACCGCCTCCTGCCCGACATATAAGGAAATGTTGGGCGCAAGGTGGTTCTCTCATTCTGGGAGGACGTCATATGACGTCCTCCCACTCTAATCGCAGGAGCACGCAGCGCGGCGATCGATGGTGCGCCAATCAATGGAAAGAGCCGAAGACGTCAGCTCGGTCATGTGATCAACTGTGTCCAATCACAGCTGATTGCATGTAAATAGGGAAATGCTGATTATTGGCATTTCTCTCCTCACGAGATGTCACGCTGACAGCTCGTGAGGAGAGGAGAGATGGTAATCGGCATTCCTCAGAGGGGACATGTACACTGATCATCAGGGCACTGATGATCAGTGTGCCCTGATGATCAGTGTAGCCCCAGCAGTGCCACCTGTCGGTGTCCATCAATGCCACCTGCCAGTGCCCATCAGTGCCTCATTAATGCCACATATCAGTACCTACCAGTGCACATCAATGCCACATATCAGTGCCCATCTGAGCTGCCTTTCAGTGTCACCTATCAGTGCCAGTCAGTGCCACCTATCAATGCCAGTCAGTGCCACCTATCAGAGCTGCCAATAAGTGCCACCTATCAGTGCCAGTCAGTGCCACGTAACAGTGCCAGTCAGTGCCGCCTATTAGTGCCTGTCAGTGCCGCCTATCAGTGCCATATATGAGTGCTGCCTTTCAGGGCCCATCAGTGATGCCTGTCAATGCCCATCAGTGCCACCTACCAGTGCCACCTATCAGTGCCCATCAGTGCAGCCTATCAGTGCCCATCACTGCAGTCTCATTAGCGCATATCAGTGAAGGAGAAAAATCACTTATTTACAAAATTTTATAACAAAAACTAAGAAAAAAACTTTTTTTTCCAAAATTTTCAGTTGTTTTTGGTTTGTTTAGCAAAAAATAAAAAACCCAGAGGTGATTAAATACCACCAAAATAAAGCTCATGCTGTCTCAAAAAATGATAAACATTTCATATGGGTACAATGTTGCATGACCACGCAATTGTCATTCAAAGTGCGACAGCGCTGAAAATTGGCCTGGGCAGGAGGGTGGTAAAAGTGCCAAATATCACAGTGGAGGGAGGAGACAAACAAGCGGAGCTTGATCACTCAAGAATTTGAAATGTAAAATGCTGACCCTGTAAATATTCAACTATGTGTATCTCCTGACTTTTTCAGACACTATGCTTGGGATTTGCAATGTATGACCTTTGTCAATTGTTGTTTTTCCAAAACCTATCAAAACCCAATAAAAATTGATTATATAAAAAGAGAAGGAAGAGGGCTCTAGGCCTCAATAATGCCGCATAAGAGACACCCGTATAAAACTTTTGATGAAAATATAGGAAGCTAGTATCTTTGCCAAGATTTGTCCCATGATGGTACTCAAGGCCAAATGTTGGTCTAAATGATCTGCAGGCTGCCTTTTGGGGGGGGGGGGGGGGGGCACTGTCAGGGCTCTGTCCTCGGCAGGGGTTTTAGGAGACCTGTCACCCCTGCCAGTACTTTGCATGGCCACAGAAGTTCACATCGGCTCAAATTTGGCGCCAAACGGCCTTTATAAGAAAGCCCTGCACTACTCTCAGGTGCTGGTTGATCTCTGGCTCCCTAGTACCTTCGTTCCCTTGCTATCCTGACTTGTGATTTCCTGTTAACGACTCGGCTTGCTCCTGGACCTGTCTGCTCTGTTTAACCCCGACCAAACCCTGGCTTGTCTAACGGATCTTCTCTCCTGCTCTCTGTGTATGACCTTGGCTATCCCTTTTGACTACGTCTGCTCCGATCCCCACCTGGCACTCAACCTTGGCTCAAACTGGTTATCCTGTGTACCTCTGTTCTCTGGAAGACCTGCATACCACGCACAGGCGCTTCTGCCTGCAGACCCCATCTCAGCGCATCAGCTGTGCTCCTGGGTGGGCCACCAAAAATAAGCACTCCCACAGGCAACCTGTGCTACTTTGGGCCTGACTCCTGTTGTCCCACCTTCAGGGGAGTCTGGAACTTAGCCGCAAGGGAAGCCGGCTCTCCATTGGCCTCTGTCACCAGGTACGTGATAGTGAGCAGGGACGTATCTGCTGCGAGGCAAACAAGGCATCTGCCTTGGGCAGCGCGTTTCAGGGGGGCGGCATCGCCCCCAGGCATAAAGGACCAATGCCGTCACTGCAAAGGGCTGTGCTTGGCCAGGGGGGCGTGCGTGTGTGTGCTAGAGCGGGGCGGGTTTGTGTGTGCTCGGCAGTGAGGATGGGTGAGGAGACAGAGAACATGTCAGCCATGGAGCCGGCTGGAGAGGGAGATGGGTGGCACATAGAGGACCGTGCATTTCTCGTTTGCTCTATGTGCCTCCCCCATCCATCTCCTGCATGAGGTCAGCTCCTGTATGTTCCCCCACGGCCCTCCTCTCCAGCACTGCAGGGGATCTGTCAGCATATGCAGCCCCCCCCCTCACACGGGAGAGCAGAGAGAAATCTGCCTCTCCTCCTCCTGCCCTCTCCTCCTGTGTCTGCCCCACCCACACTTCCAGCCAGCCTTGTGTCTTTTTTCCTCTCTCTCTCTTTCTCTCCCCCCCCTCTCTCTCTCTCTATCTCTCTCTATCTCCCCTCTCTCTTCCCCCTCTCTCTCCTCTCTCTCTTCCCCCCACTTTCTCTTCTCTCTCTCTTCCCTCTTCTCTCTCTCTCGTCCCCCTCTCTCTCCTTCCCCACCCCTCTCTACCCCATCTTCTCTCTCTCCCTTCCCTCTTCTCTCTCTCTCCCTCCCCCCCCTTCTCTCCCTTCCCTCTCTCTCTCTCGTTCCTCTTCTCTCTCTCCTCCCCCCTCTTCTCCCCCTCTCTCTCCCTATCCCCCTCTCTCTATCTCCTCCTCCTCTCTCCTTTCTCTCTACCCTCTCTCTATCTTCTCTCTCTCTCTCTCTTCCCCACTTTCTCTTCTCTCTCTCTTCCCCCTCTCTCCTTCCCCTCTCTCTCCTCCCTCTTCTCTCTCCCCCCCCTCTCTCTCCTCTCCCCCCCTCTCTCGCTCTATCCCCCCTCTCTCCCTCTCTCTCTCCTCTTCTCTCCCTGCTCTCTCTCTCCTCCCCCCTCTCCCCCTCTCTCTCTCCCCTCTTCTCTCCCTTCCCCCCCTCTCTCCCCCCTCTTCCCCCTCTCTCTCTCCCTCTCCCCCTCTCTCCATCTCCTCCTCCTCCTCTCTTCCCCCCCCTCTCTCCTCTCTTTCTCCCCCCTCTCTCTCCTCTCTTTCTCCCCCCTCTCTCTCCTCTCTTTCTCCCCCCCCTCTCCTCTCTTTCTCCCCCTCTCTCTCCTCTCTATCTCCTCTCTTTCTCCCCTCTCTCTCTCCTCTCTCCCCTCCCTCAACCCTCTCCCCCCCCTCTCTCAACCCCCCCCTCTCTCTCTCATTCCTCTCCCCTCTCTCTGTCACGTACCTGATAGGAAACGAATTGATGAGGTCGGCCTCACTTGTGTCACTAGCCCTGACCCCGTTGAGGTTGGAACAGAGGGAGTCTAGGGACCAGGGGGACAAGAGCGCCAGTGTTGTTGTTTGTGGCTCTTGCAGATGATGGCCTGGAAAGGCAGTGTATCCTCTGATTAGAATACTGTAGTAGCAGACAGAGCAGGTTCTGGGTAATGCCTGATGTGCAGCAGAGCAAGTAGGTAGCCAGGACACAGAACAGGAGCAGGGTCAAAGGAAGCCAAGGTCATCAACAGTCGGGCAGCGAGGTACAGAATCAGTAGGAGAAGCCAAGGTCAGGAGCAGAGCCGAAGTCAGGAACCAGGAGCAGGAGAGTAATCAAAGTCGGGTCAGGAACAAGCCGGGTCAGCACCAAAGGAATCGCACAGGAACCAAGCAGGACATTGGGGGAAGCTGAAGATCAGTCAGCACTGAATGAGCACTGAGGTGCTCTTTAAATAGCCCGCCCAGCGCCGATAGGCGCGCCTGGGTCCTAGCGCCTGCCCTTTCTGTCATTGGTGACAGGCACGCCTGGGTCCTAGTGCCCGCCTGCCTGTATGCCTTGTCGGGATCCTGCACATGTGCAGATTCATGCGCTGCGGCGATCTTCTTGTTCTCTGACACTCTCTCTCCTCTCCCCCTCTCTCTCTCTCTCCTCTCCCCTCTCTCTCTCTCTCCTCTCCCCTCTCTCTCTCTCCTCTCCCCCCTCTCTCTCTCTCCTCTCCCCTCTCTCTTTCTCTCTCCTCTCCCCTCTCCTCTCCTCTCCTCTCTCCCCTCCTCTCTTCTCTCCTCTCTTCCCTCTCTCCTCTCCTCTCCCCTCCACTCTTCTCTCCCCTCTCCCCCCTCTCTTTCTCCTCTCCCCTCTCCTCCTCTCTTCTCTCCCCTTTCCCCTCTCTCTCTCCTCCCCCTTTCTCTCTCTTCCTTCCCTCCTACAAAAAAAATAAATAAATAAAAATGTAAATAAAAATAAAAACCTACTGACACTAGTGGCGAAACTACCAGGGTTGCAAAGTCCGCTCTTGCGACCAGACCCTTGCGTTCCGCCACCAGGCTCTGAGGAAAGGGTCCCTGGGCTTTGGGCTGCTCAGTTCAAAGTGCCCGGGCCTATTTTTTGTCCCAGTCCAGGCCTGGCCATGACCAATAAAGGGCACAACGTCTATGAAGATCTCAAAGTTCTACTCATTTTACTAGGGGGTGCAGTATGTAAGTCTTTGAGGTGCTGGATGTTTAACTATATTGGTGAAAGCTTGATTTAGACTGGACTTTTTGAATGGCTTCATGGTCTAACAGGTTGTGCAGCATCCATCTAATGCATGTAGGCAAACCAGATATCTATAGTACTTGGTATAGACCAGGCCTCTCCAGCTGGTTCACAGTCTCTGACCATCTCCTGTATCCTGTCCGCAGTCTTTGACTGTCTCCTGTATCCTATCCGCAGTCTCTGACTGTCTCCTGTATCCTGTCTGCAGTCTCTGACCATCTCCTGTATCCTGTCCGCAGTCTCTGTCTCCTGTATCCTGTTCGCACTCTCTGACTGTCTCCTGTATCCTGTCTGCAGTCTCTGACTGTCTCCTATATCCTGTCCGCAGTCCTTGACTGTCTCCTGTATCCTGTCCTCAGTCCCTGACTGTCTCCTGTATCCTGTCTGCAGTATCCGATCATCCCCTGTACTATGTCCACAGTCGCTGACTGCCTCCTGTACTATGTGCGCAGCCTCTGATCTCTCTTATATCCTGTCCAGTCTCTGACCATCTCCTGGAGTATATCAGCAGACTCTGATCATCTCCTGTATCATGTCTACAGTCTCTGACCATCCCCTGTATCCTGTCCACAGTCTCTGACCATCTCCTTTAGTATGTCAGCAGACCCTGATCATCTCCTGTACCCTGTCTGCAGTCTCTGACCATCTCCTGTATCCTGTCCGCTGTCTCTGACCGTCTCCTGTATCCTGTCCACAGTCCCTGACCATCTCCTATAGTATGTCAGCAGACTCTGATCATCTCCTGTATCCTGTTCTCAGTCTCTGACTTTCTCCTGTATGCTGTCCACAATCTCTGACCGTCTCCTGTATCCTGTCCGCAGTCTCTGACCGTCACCTGTATCTTGTCCTCAGTCTCTGACCATCTCCTGTATCCTGTCCAGTCTCTGGCCATCTCCTGTATCTTGTCTGCAGTCTCTGACAAACTCCTGGAGGTGGAGCTCTAATAGGAAGAGGCGGAGCCTAAAGCAGAAGGGGTGGAGATTAGGGATGAAGAGGTGGATCCTAAACAGGAAGGGGTGGGACAAATTTAGATGGGGGTATGTGATTTTAGTCTTGCCTAGGGCAGCACAAAACCAAAATACACCATTGATAGTGAGTCTTTGCTGTCCTCCCATACAATGTGCTGCAGGTCTTGCATTGTATGTGATAACATCAGAGAGCTGTGACCAACCAGGCAGCGAAGTGAATTAGCTTTGGGGGACCAAAAAGACAAGGAAGCCTGTGGCAGTGAGGAATATGGTAAGTATTTGGGCATATTCCTTCACCCTAGCCACATGTATATTTAACGAATGCATTGAGGGGTGACCCCACTGAATGGTTTCATTGAAGAGCAGTCCGGAGTGGGGCTTAAATATCAAAAATCATGAGTAAACTTCTATAATGTCAGGGTATACCTGCATGGAATTGTAGTTTAAAACTTCAGCACCTTTATTAGTTTCAAAGTACTAAACAGATTACCAGGCTTAGAAAATGTATCTTAAATGTAGAAGCCAGCTCCAGCTGTTAGGAAGCAGGTAACTCCCTTGGCTAAAAGATGTGAACAGGGCATGCTATAAAACTGGTTAGTGTGTTCTTACAGTGTTTAAAGGGAACCTTTTTCTGTTTTATATTTTACCAACCCAGCCATTAAACATGAGACGTGTTGCCAATGCTATTAAGAAGAAAGAAATCAAAAGTCCAGTGTATTATCCCAGAATGTCAGGAATAGAAATATGAAAGCTGCCATTCCTGGCTTGTTTTTAAAGTGTAAGCTCTCTGATACATAACAAAAACACCCTACCCAAAACTAAAAAAAAAATGTATCTGTTGTTGGGTTTTAATGCTCTCAAAAGATGTGGTACCTCCTGTTGTGCTGCATTACCAGTTGGGTGTCACAACCATTTCCTGTTTCCGCCTTGAAGTCTTCTGCATCATATTTCTGCTCTCTGGACAGTAAAGGAACCAGAAACATAACAATAGCCATAACAGCCAAAATGGCTGCTATGGGACCTGAGGGTGGTATGGGGGCCCTATTAGAGAAGTAGTTAAGGTAAACTATACAAAGAAAATCTGCATGTGTGTAAATACTATTATGAGGGTTAAAGAAGTTGCTGATGAGTTGATGAGATAGGGGGCTGGTTCTTGGAAGCAGTGGGATAGAAATTAACTATGGAGGGCCAGGACTGGGGAAAATGCCCCCAGAGATTAGGAGAAGAAGGAGAGTGAGGAAAGTAAGATGGAAGTGGGATGTATATGAGCGCACATATCTCACTGTCCTGATGTTTAGGTCAGCAAGTGTGTTCAATATTTGCAGGAGGACATGAGTGCAGTCATATGGAAAGGATAGGAGTAGGAGTGAAGGTGATATATATATATATATATATATATATATATATATATATATATATATATATATATACAGTTGTGTTTAAAATAATAGCAGTCAGACATCACTAACCGGATCAATCACTGTTTTTGGTAGAAATTATATTTCTACATGGCAAATAATTTACTAGCAGATGTAGTAGAGTAATAGAAATCCAACAGACCCAACAGTCATGACATGCATGCTGCTGATTCTGTGTAATTGAATCACTAATTGAAAGGGGAATGTTCAAAATAATAGCAGTGTGGAGTTCTATTAGTGAGGTCAGTCATTCTTTGAAAAACAGGTGGCAATTATTGCCCTTATTTAAGGAAGGAAGGCAGCAAATGTTGTACATGCTAGTTACAGTGCATTTCTCTCTGAAATTCTGAGGAAAATGGGTTGTTCCAGACATTGTTCAGAAGAACAGCGTACATTGATTAAAAAGTTGATTGGAGAGGGGAAAACATATAAAGAAGTGCAGAAAATGATAGGCTGCTCAGCTAAAATGATCGCAAATGCTTTAAAATGGCAACCAAATCTTGAAAGACGTGAAAGAAAGTGAAAAACTACCATTCGAATGGATAGAAGAATAGCCAAAATGGCAACGACCCAGCCAACAATCAGCTCCAGGAAGATCAAAGAAGGTGTAAAGTTCCCTGTGAGTACTGTTACAATTAGAAGACACCTATGTGAAGCCAAGCTATCTGCAAGAAGCCCCCGCAAGTCCCACTGTTGAAAAAAAGACGTGTGCTGAAGAGGTTACAATTTGCCAAAGAGCACATTGACTGGCCTAAAGAGAAATGGCGCAATATTTTGTGGACTGATGAAAGTAAGATTGTTCTTTTTGGGTCTAGTGGCTGGAGACAGTTTGTCAGACGACCCCCAAACACTGAATTCAAGCCACAGTACACTGTGAAGACAGTGAAGAATGGTGGTGCAAGCATCATGATATGGGGATGTTTCTCATACTACGGTGTTGGGCCTATTTATTGCATAACAGGGATCATGGATCAGTTTGAATACATCAGAATACTTGAAGAGGTCATGATGCCTTATGCTGAAGAGGAAATGCCCTTGAAATGGGTGTTCCAACAAGACAATGACCCCAAACACACCAGTAAACGTGCAACATCTTGGTTCCAGACCAACAAGATTGACGTTATGGAGTGGCCAGTCCAATCCCCAGATCTTAATCCAATAGAAAACTTGTGGGGTGACATCAAAAATGCAGTTTCTGAGGCAAAACCAAGAAATGGAGAAGAACTGTGGAATGTAGTCCAATCATCCTGGGCTGGAATACCTGTTCACAGGTGCCAGAAGTTGGTTGACTCCATGCAACACAGATGTACAGCAGTTCTCAGAAACAGTGCTTATACAACCAAATATTCATTAAGTGATTCAAAGGAAAGCAAAATCTTCAAACATTTTTCAGTTTATATAGTGAATGTTTGAGTTTGTAAAGAAGAATACAAACACTGCTATTTTTTTGAACAGTCTAATATTCACTTTTCTTCAATTTTTTTTTTAGAGGAACAACACAAATTTGATATATTTTTCTCCATGTTTTGATTTGGAATAGAATGTGTCGTGTTCCCAATGCATTTGTGTGGATGGAAATAAAAGCTATTAGAAGGATTTTGAGCTTTATTCACTTTTTTCAACACACTGCTATTATTTTGAACACAACTGTATAGGCTGTGGGGTGGAGGAGAGGGGTAAACTAAGGACAATCAAAAGAGGTAAAGGGAGTATAGTAGAGGGAAAGGAGAGTGGTAATCAGACTTCAAAAGAAATAATTTACAAAATGTTGGTTTTCATGCAGTCTTTCCAGGGTGGAGCATAGTTGTTCATGTTCTATCTTCTTGCTGCTTTAGTTAGCTACTGCTGTGTTCAACTGCTTTACCACTTGTTTAAAAACCATTTAGTCAAAAAACGCCCTGACAGCAACTTGCCGTTGTCTGTAACTTTCTCCATAAGAGAATAATTTATAGGGAGATAGGGCAAGGGAGCATTTGTCAATTGAGCAATTTGGAACTGATAAGAAACACTTGAATGGAAGGGGAGATTGTCAAAAAAACCAGACCAACCGCAGACACAGGCCAAAGTCATATAGATATTTGATTTTTGATCACTAAAGGTAAATGAAGGTGAGAATCAATCACCAAAAATATAGACAAGCTTAAAGGATATGACAGCATTTAGCAAAGAGCATAGTGTCAGTTATAAATAGCATGGAGATGGTTAAACATGGATATTCCAAGCAGCACAGAATTTCCCATGTTTCACAGTCCCAGACAGGGCTGGATCTAGCCTGGCTGATGTGGGGGTGCAGTAAAATATGTCAGGGGGGCAGAAGATGGGCGGTCAGCAGAGCAGTGTACAAGGGGTCAGCAGGGCAAAGGATAGGGTCATCATTATCTAGGGCAGTCTACAGAGGGCCATTTGTAGGGTAGTGTACAAGAGACAACAGAGCTGAGGACAGGGGTCACTGCTGGCAAGGCAGAGGACAAGAGTAACTACTGGCTGGGCAGAGGACAGGGGTCACTGCTGGCAGGACAGAAGACAGGGGTCACTGCTGGCAGGGCAGAAGACAGGGGTCACTGCTGGCAGGGCAGAAGACAGGGGTCACTGCTGGCAGGGCAGAAGACAGGGGTCACTGCTGGCAGGGCAGAAGACAGGGGTCATTGCTGGCAGGGCAGAAGACAGGGGTCACTGCTGGCAGGGCAGAAGACAGGGGTCATTGCTGGCAGGACAGAAGACAGGGGTCATTGCTGGCAGGACAGAAGACAGGGGTCACTGCTGGCAGGGCAGAAGACAGGGGTCATTGCTGGCAGGACAGAAGACAGGGGTCACTGCTGGCAGGACAGAAGACAGGGGTCACTGCTGGCAGGACACTCCGTAGAGCTCCTTCTCTCATCTCTGCACTGCTCACAGCCTGGGTACGGGCAGCAGTGCTCCTCCTCAAGAGGAGGACAGGAGAGTGGTACAGTCAGCCTTCCCCACCCCACTGGCCCCCTGCTGACCAGATCATTGATTTAGCTGGGCAATATATTTACTTGTACATTTACAAAGCTGCAAGGACAGGGCAGCTGTTTGCAGTATGGTTCATCAGGCAGGCAGAGTGTTTTTGGGTACCCCCCGTAGATCCGGCCATGGACCCAGAAAGCAATGTGAAAAGCCTGCTTAAATCTGACACCATGAGATTAGACTAGAATGTTATTATGATATCATTTGTAATCCTGGTACTGGCTAAAGGATCAAAAATGAAAACCAGAGATAATAAATGATGGAAATCATGATGAATAATCCAATTTCTGAGTTTTCCTAAAACATTGTCACTGGAAAAACTAGTTAATGAAGTGCAAAAACATATGTTTCCAGACCACTCGGCCATGTCTCTCTTTAAGTTAATATTTACTTGATGGATGGTGGGTGGTCCGTCCTGTATCTTAGGACCACCTGCTGCATTAATCTCCCTTCTGGAGAACTGCAAATCTGTCTTTATCATCTGTATTACGAAACCAGATTAACTGTGCTGATGAAATACTTGCCCCAAAGTCAAATATATTCCCATATATTAATGTTATGATCAGATACAACATTAAAATGAATAACAAGTATGCACCAAAGATTAGATAGATAGATAGATAGATAGATAGATAGATAGATAGATAGATAGATAGATAGATAGATAGATAGATAGCATTACCCCCTTAGGAGTCACTAGAAGATTTGGGTCCCCCTATAGTCCTGCACAGCCAGTCATCACACATCACAAAAGCTTGCATCCAGAGTCAGTAATCAGTCCCTGAGCTTTGGGTTTGTTGTTTTATTTAGGAGATTTAAATTGGGATAGGGTTAGGGGTGTACAGGATGCTCAAGGGAAACTGGTGAACTGAAGACAACGTCCTGGAACTATTTGCAAGCCTTCTCTGCAGCACAGTCTTTGTTGCAGAGCTAGCCAGCATCTCCGAATGTACCACCCCAGACCCTAAATGAATGTCTCCTCTTCACCCAGCAATCTGGAAGTATCCCTGAGTATGGGGATCCAGCTCCTGTGCCTTTAAATAGGTGAACAATTAGGGTGCTAGTCTGGTTTCCCACCAGAATGGTCCTTCCCCTGTCTGCCCAGGGGGTGCCGGTGTACTCACTCAAATCCTCTCCTGCATCGCTTGTGGGTTGGTGGCTGCTACCAGGCCTATCAGCTGGGCTGCTCCTTCCTTGCCATACAGGTGGTCCTCTCTCAAGGGGCCAGAGAGTTCCAAGCTTTCTGCCTATCCATTTCCAGGCTCACAGACAGGCCCCATACTAAAGAAAAAAGAGGGAATGTAAAAAACACTGACTGCCTTATCACTATGTTAGTGTTGCTGTCTAAACCAGAATTAAATAACATGCAAAATAGTCACATACAGTGGGTAAAGCCCCCTCTATGAGACAAGTGGTTAATCCAACAGCAAACAAAGTGCTTATCACAAGGATGTGTATATATAGCTAACAATAGCAATTAGAAACAGCACTGCAGGGTGTATATACACACACATGCCCCAGGGCCCATAAAATAATCGATAGTTCCAGTACTGATGGTACTCCTGGAGTGAGATAAATCCCTAGATGGTAATGTAACACCGGGATTATGAGAGACCGACCCAACGTAACTAACAGCGACCCCTATGATCAGGCCCGGACTGGGACAAAAAATGGGCCCGGGCACTTTGGACTGAGCAGCCCAAATCCCGGGGACCCTTTCCTCGGAGCCCAGTGGTGGAATGCCAGGGCCTGGTCACAAGAGCGACCTTTGCGACCCTGGTAATTCCGCCACTAGTGTCAGTAGGTTTTTATTTAATTTTTCACAATTTTATGTTTTATTATTTTTTTACTTTTTTGTGGGCGAGAAAGAAAGAAAGAAAGAGGGAAAGACAGAGAAAGAGGGAAAGAGAGAGAAAGAGGGAAAGAGGGAGGGAAAGGGAAAGAAAAGAAAGAAAGAAAACAAGAGAAACAGGAGACAGAGAGTAAGAAAGAAAAAAGAAAGAAGGAAGGAGGCAAAGAAGGAAGGAGGGAAAGACAGAGAGAAAGAGGGAAAGAGGGAAAGAGAGAGGGAAAGAAGGAAGGAGGAAAAGAAATAAGGAAGGAAGGAAGGAAACAGGAGACAGAGAAAGAAAGAAAGAAAGAAAGAAAGAAAGAAAGAAAGAAAGAAAGAGAGAGATTAGGTCCAATTAGGTCAAGAAAATGAAATTCACTGATGGACATAAATATGGTCACCTTGATGACATCGACTTGTCTAGTACAAGGCAATTCTGCAGACATTAGAATGGCAGGTTGCCCATTTAATAAAGCAATGGATATCCAGGTAAAAAAGGTAAGTTCATTACCAATATTGGCATCAAGAGCACAAAACCTCCGCCTCAATGTCCATCCAATGGTGGAGCAAGGCCAGTAGAAGTATATGGAATTTTCAAGCTCATTAATGGTACTAATGCAACCTGGGAGCTTAAGCAATCACCATCCACCTGGCCAATTATGAGAAGGTCTGTGCAATAATATACATCGTTGCCATCATAGTCCCATTTCTGGTCAGGGCAATGAAGAAATACAGTCCACGACTGTCTCCATATTAATGCTTGTGTGACCAAAGTGTGCTGGTATGCAGTGAAACTTGCCAGTCATCTCTCCCTCCACATGGTCCATCGCCATCGTGGTTTGACTTTTGGGCGTAGAAATGTAACGTCACCTGATGCCTCGTGATGTCAATGCGTTTCGCTTACGTACAAGCGTAGCTTTGTCAGGACAACGAACTGTTGGTGACTTTGGGTCGGTCTCTCATAGTCCCGGTGTTACCTCACCATCTAGGGAATTATCTCCCTCCAGGAGTACCATCAGTACTGGACCATCGATTATTTTTGGGCCCTGGGGCATGTGTGTATATAAGCCCTGCAGTGCTGTTTCTAATTGCTGTTAGCTATATATACACATCCTTGTGATAAGCACTTTGCAGGAGGTTAATGCATACAGTTTATATGATGTCCGGACGTCCTAATCTTGACATTGTTTTTAATTTTGATTGTATGTTTATGCATATGTTGTGACTACTGAGCACTGTGCGTTACTACAAGTTTTTATGCATTGCAATTTTTTTGTCATGAATAAATAATATTTTTAAATCACAATTTCTGATACAAGCCTTGTTTTCTGTTGGATTAACCACTTGTCTCATAGAGGGGGCTTTACCCACTGTATGTGACTATTTTGCATGTACATCCCACTAGGCCTCCTGGCAGCCTCCTTCCTCACAGCCTCACATCTTCCTCTCTCCTTCTTCCATCCGACTCTTCTCCCCCACTCCTGCCACTGAGCAGGCTCCAACACTTTTTAAGGGTGTCCAGCCCCTTGCCAACCTCTTGTTGGGGATTGGCAAGAACCCTTCAAATGTGCAGCCAGCCACTCCTCAGACCCACCCACTGCCTCTAAGGTCTTCCTCCAAATGCCTTAGAGCAGTGGGAAATTCCAGAGGGGATAGCCTGCAGATCCTGTCAATCCTGATCAGAATTTGACCCATCTGGCTATTACACCTGAGCTGCTATTCAGCTCCTCTCTAACCATTATGATCTAGCTAGATAGATATATAGATAGATAGATAAATAGATAGATAGATAGATAGATAGATAGATAGATAGATAGACATTAGATGAGTGAGTTGAGTTCACAATAGTCAAATAAGTAGAGGATAAAATCTGAATAGCTGTTAGGGTTACTGCATGTTGTACAGTAAACAGTCATTGCAGTTAGCGGTTCTTTGTATGAGTGTCACCTTGGCTGTGCATGTGGGTGGTTGCCAAGTGGTAACCAGATTATCCATCTTTTCTTTCAGTTTATGAGACAATTTGGTGTTTAAAATAGAACTTTAGTCAGAAAATTAAGTCCTTATAGATCACTTCAGGCTGGCCTCTTTTGCAGCTTTAGCTGTGAAGAACATTCAAAGTAAGTGCTTGTACTGTTTGAAATCCAGTAATACACTGTCTCACCCTGCTCTGCACATGCTTGGTTGCTCTCTGTTTTTAGGCACTACACCAAATTCGTAGAGACCAATCTGCTGACAGCCTAAAGATTTACTGCTGCTTAGAGGCTCTGGGCTTCAGCAAAATGGCAGCCTCCAGAAAGAACAGACAGTAACAAGGCTGGAGGCAATGTACAGCGCACACTAATTTTGTTAGCATAATTATTAATGTGGAATGTATGTTTCTCGCTAAAGAACATTATTTGTTATCAAGTTGATATGGATAAAGTTCTGCTTTAAAAAGTAGAGTGTCCATTTACTCTCCATGTTCACATTCAGTCAAAGGTGGTGGACGCCTCCTGCTCTTCCACTCTTCCAAGACCCTACAAAAAGCCATGGATCCTGACAATATTACACAGCCCAATGATCACCCAGCTTTAGTCCATGCGCCTACTGTTGAGCTCTCTGAATCAACATCCACTGATGTACCTAAAGACAAAGACACATTTCCTCTCATCCCAGAAGATGAAGAACCCCTGTAAAATTTGTGCTGTTTGCTATAGAAACTTGCCAGGGATAGCACACCTATGTTTTGTGGAGTATAGTGTAGTGCCCATTTACTCACTATATACGATATAGGCAGAGGGCCCTTTAACTCCTTTTGCCACAACTCCCTGGTTTCCTGGACATGCCCAGGGAAGATACGTTTCTCTGTTTCTTTCACTC